CCAAGCAGTGGGCTCCTGTTGGATCGCAATGACCAGATTGGTCTGTAAAAAATTGTTGTATCTTTCTGTCAGAAATTCTGGTTTTTGTTGACATGTGTTGAGCTTCGGTAATAATATTCTGTACTATTTTGGATATGACCGACCAGGTCAAGCAACTCTGATAAATCAATTTTTTTCACGAAGGGAACTACAGCTGACTAATGCTTGTTGCATATAGCACAGACAACCTCGTTCCCAAGTAATCTTCGAACTTTCTCGAGGCAGAAGGAGAGAGCACCATGGGAACGAGGTTGTAGCACAGGTAGCTCACATTCACACTTTTGACCACAGTACACCCAAACTCTCCATTGGAGGATATTATTGTGAAGCACTGTCTGGGAGTATAGGCTCCGCTCTGTAACTCCGTCCATAATGCAACAAACAAACTTTAACCTTCACACAGTCACTTTTGTGTTATTTTAGTCCACTGGTCGCGATTTCAAGCCATTTCGTCAAACATGAGCTGAGAACTCAACCCTCAACCCTAAACTCTCTGGTGGTGTATCTTAGCTGAGATTTCATCTTTCTTTTCACAGGACCTGGATATGAGTCAAATGTTTTCCAAAGGGCACCCCCAACAGTCATAATTCATGCGAGTTTGGTTAGCTCAAGCTGTAGAGCGCCGCTTTGCCGAGCGGGAGGTCATCGGTTTAAGCCCCAGACCGGAGCAACACACAGGGTCTTAAAATAACTGTGGAGAATGTGCTGCATTTGCTATGACATCTTCAAATAGTTAGACATTCTAGTCTTCTCGGACAAGGACGAAAAACCGTACGCCCCTTCTCCTGAAACTTCTTTGTACCGGTTAGCAGGGTACGTTAAAGAACCTTCGCGCTTATCGCAAAGAGTAAGGAATATAGTCCTGGTTTTGTGGTCTGGCTTTCATTCTGATATTGGGGGCATGTGCAAAAATATCCTTTCAAAATTCTAAACTGCTCGATACAGTCTGGCCAAAGTTCCCTGCAAAGTTTTGTAAAGTGCCATGAGCCATAGGATAGCACGCTAAAGAAATCCTTTATTCGCATTATTACTCAGTTTTACACTACCACGTATTTTTTCTTTTGGAAAAATCTGCTTTTTGTCACCCTTTTCATTTTCTTTTCAAAGAGGAATATGGATGGAGTTTATTTGCTTTATTATAGTTAGGGAGTTACGGAGCGGAGCCTACACCCCCATTCAAAGCTTTATAATATTATCCTCGCATGGAGAGCTTGTGCACCCAGCGTTATGAAAGCTAACTGTATGACCTTTGAAGAATGCATAACGAAACGGTTTGTCGTGTTGGAGTGGGAAACAGAAAATGTCACAAAGAAACACGTTTTCCCAGCTTTAAGTTACTAGAAAAAATTGGTGTCCGTCCTCCTTTCTTGGTGGATCCGTACCCATACTTTATCTTCAAAACGGCGTTATAGGCTAACCGCTGTTCCGAAACTGAGCCCACGCTTGTCTTTCGGATGATAAGCAGAGACCGAAAACGAGCCTATCTCAATCTATAAATAACAACGTACATGTCAAGATTATTTTTCTTGGGAGGTTTCCTGAATGCGACATAACATAGTTATGTTATCTATTGCAAATAAGGTATCTCACCTCACTTGTTGTGTTTGTCTTCACGTCTAAGAAAAAGTCTTTGTAATAGGAGCTTAGTAAAGAGTTTTCGGTCTGATTAACATACGTGATGTGCAAACACAAACAAAGGTTTTCCTAAAGTGGTAGCGCAGTCGGTTGCGTTGATCTGCACGGGAATCTTCACAGGAAGTCGCTGCAAGTTTGCTTCCTCTGTGTTTGAGTGTGCGGTCAAGCTTCAGTGCTTTCCTAGACGACAAAAATTAAGGGACGAAGACAACACGGAGCCAAGTAAACGTAATTATTGAGGTAAGTTTGTGACTAAATTGCATTCCATTTTCCAGCTTTACATGCATGTGCTCCCTACATTTGTTTTTCTCGATCTTTTTCCCTCCCCTCCTACAATTTGTTTATCGATGAAATAATCGTTTTGTTTAATATATCTATATGGCTTCACTCAAGGCGTAATGAAAGCTAATCTGAAATATTTCACACTTACGAAATGAACTAATTTCACGATGCATATTAAGTGTCTACTGTGTCGTTGCATTATACAGCTTTCCAACAAGGTTTCGAGCTCTTTAGTATTGTATCTTGTAAAACTTGAGTGGTTAAAAGAAAGCTTTCAAATAACTTAAGCACGGCGTGACATCTGTTTCAGTAAACGTGCAAATGCAATTAAATCCACGATCGATGAGACATATAAAAACAGTACCTTTCCTTTGAGCGTTTATTTTATTAATACGCTAATTAATTTAAATTCGGCTAAAGCATTTGCTATCATTTTCGATGGGAAATAAAAATTTGGCTTCTTTAAACATAATGCCCACCAAAGTTAAAGAAACTAATCACCGCTACATCTATTTATTCAACTTGAGAAAGGAAGGATTGGTCGTATACCAATGTAATTACAAAATTCTCGGAATCATTTCACAACCATCGCCAAGACTATTGACTCTTGGATTTCACGAAATAACTTCACAGGCGACACGATTATATGAATTGCAGCATAAAACAGATTACCTTTGCATCGAAGAACTTGGTCAATTTTTTTTACTACAAACGCACCAGGACTACAGTTTAGGAGGGATCGATTTTGAAAACGAGTTAATTAGTTTGAGCAGGGCAAGTGTTTACATGGTAAACAGAGCAACGAAAAGTGATCTTGCAAGAACGCTGCCGAGGCGTACCATTTCAATTGAGAAGGATGATTGGGCTGATAAAAAATTTATATTCCTCCGAAAGAACAATCGAAGGAAATTCCAAGCAAACCTTTATCACGAAAACATGCTTCACCACCCAGATTTGATTCAACTCATTTGAAAAGTTAATGTATTTTGGAGCGGTTACCTTTCCATTCTTGTCTGCGTTATTTTTTTATGATACCGCATCATGGATTACGATATCTTGGATAACGGTATTTCTAGATACCGTCATTTGGAAGCGAAGGAAAGGAAAAGAAGAATGTAGTATTTTCCTTTCATCTTTTTTCGTTGCAGAAAACGAAACAAACAGACAAAATACGGACAACAAGCGTGACCTCCATGTGATCTATCTTGCGTAAACATTTTGTCATTGGACTTTGCCATGCTTCGGGGGGGGGGAGCTAGTTGGGTCAATTTTTGTCAGGTATGTGCCGCTGGCCTCCAGGAAGCCCTGGCCCATTATAGTCTCTTCTCGTCTCTTCTCACATTCTCACATTAAAGTCGTCTAAATGCGAGCCCATCCAGCGGCACATCCCCAATAACCTATTACATTACCAGTAAGAGCCCTCCCCCCCCAGGGATCTTGGTGTAGTATGAGTAAAACAATGCACACTTACTAAACCCGGTGAAGACTTTTACTTGTTATGAATCATTAAAAATTTATAGCCATGTGATCGCCTGGTCCATCGAACAGAGTACGTTAGTTAATTTCTGCAAATCCTTGAATACTCTCACCTCACACGTGATTCGCTCGCCGAGCTATCAAAATCACAATTCGGAAACTCAACTGCAAATAATGGAGGGGGGGGAAAGGGGGACATGAGAATGTCACTTGGGGGTGGTAATCGGGGATTTTGTTGTGTCGAGATAAAATTTTCCTGCTCCACGAAAAGACCTTCTCCCCAGTCTCCCCTCTCCCTTTGTCAAGTTCGCCTCTCCAACATTACGTTTCTGCATTTACGTTGATTAAACAAAGAGATTCCGTGTTGCCGTGGCAGTGTACCGTAATTTATCACAGATGTCAAAATGTGGTTAGTAGTGTCGTACTTGGCTGTGCCTCGTGAGTCACTATTTTGTCTAGCTTAATCACATATTGACCTCCAAGGTTATTTAAAACCGAAAAGACGCTCGGCAACTTGGAATCTCTTTATTAATTTGACGTATAGGCAGTTTCCAGAAAGTCTCAGTTGTGTCAATTGTTTGAATGTTTTGGTTCGCGTTTTGCTTTTTTTTTTTTTTTTGGTTATATTCTTAAATTTCCAAAAGTGCCGTTTTGTCCACAAGAACAGCTGAACGAGGGTCCCAATTTTACATCTAACGGTTGAAATTTTGGCCAATTTACAGCTAACAGTTAATTTTCTTTCCATTGTGGTCACCCGAAGAATATTTACGGTTAATTTTTTTTATACAACTTTCGGTTAAAATGTCTCAATTTTTACGCCTATACCGGCATAAAAAGGTTTTCGCCGTTTTACTACCAACGGTTAACCACCTTAAGCCGGAGCCTTCTGAGCTTCAGGAAATTGTGTTTAAAATTAATTCCTGTAGTGCTCATTTGTATAATTTTTATCTGAATGCAGTAAGCTTTCTACGGAAAAGAAATTGGCGCAACTGAAAAGTGCTTCATGATTTTTTGAAAGACGCTTTTGGCTTTTTTGTGAACAGGATTGTCCTGAAAACCTTGTGTCCGTATTGGAAAATGGAAACGGAAAAACCGTTTCACAAGTTTTGCCGAAAGTCAGGTTAAAAAAGCACGCTTTGATTCGTATATTTTTAGACAGAAACTGCTGTGGCAGTTTCAGGTGTAGTTTTTTTTTTTCTTGTAGTTCTGCTTCAGCGGTTTTCTGAGGCATGTACACGTGTGTATATGCATGTTTGGGTTAATTTACCAGACGAACAAAGGCGCTATTGCGTCAATCGCCAGACCATGCATTTTAATATACAGTTGAATCAGAAATTAGGTAACTTTTTTTCCCTTTCAAGGAAAATGAATGATATTTATGCTGAAGTGTTTTTTCGTTACAGATTGATTTTGAAGCTGGTGCGATCTAGTTGATGGTGTGGTTAACAAAGTATATTCGAGGTATGTGAACAGTAACTAACAGTCTCTACTGCACAAGTTGTTTCCCTTGCTGGCTGATGCGTAATATTGAAACGTATGCGGGTGTTTAATGATGCTAAGACAATCGTCGTAACAGTTTCCTTATGATCGATGTGTAATATCGGATTTATAGCGTTGTGAAGAAGTTTTTATGAGCGGTGCTGTTTCCTCATATCATTGTGCGGAAACACTCACGGAGTATTTTATTTAGCACACCTGTGATTTATCATTGAAATTATCCGACCGGCTGGTCATTTTAGTTTTGCAGAACCCAATGTTTCACTACTCAAACGCTACAAGAGGAAGTCAATCAAAGCGAGCGTGTTTAGCAACAACATTCGAGCACAGACCTTTCAAGCAAAACACCACAGCAAATATTAAGATACTGACAAAAAGTCCAACTTCAACCCCTCCCCCCGAGAATCGTAGCTTGTAACACAGAAAGTTAATAATCTCCCCGCCATCACACCCAGAATTGAGTTTCGTTTGATAAGAAAGCAAGATACAAATGACCTAAAGTGTACATCATCAACCATCGGTTTCATGAAAACTCTCAGGTGGTGTTGTATCCTTAACAAAACAAATCATTTGATGGCTAAATCTCGCGTGAAAGCGATGTCAGTCATGCATTGTTTGTAAACTGCTGATGCAGTCCGGCCAAAGTCCCCCGAAAAGTGTTGTGATGATGTGCATTTGATCACATCCACATGTTAATTTGCGCAAGATAAATGTTAAATTATTATTATTATTATTATTATTATTATTAATATATATCATCCTGTCTTCATGATTGATAAGGCTACCACCGGCTAAATTTTTTTTCCTCAAAAGTAACGGAGGGCACGTTTTAATGATCGTATGTTGGTATTTTGCTGGTGGCATAATCTCATTCAGTTGTTTTCATTTTTCTTCAGCGTTTCTCTGTCTTAGTCACGTGTCACCTTAAGGGTATTATGCTACTCTGACGTAACGTGGGAGTGCTTCCGATGATTTGACGTATCCTGTCCTTTTCGTACCCGTTTTTCTGGCCTCTTTAATCCGTTTCGGTGTTAAATATAGCTTTTCCTGTGTTGTTGACGTCTTACTAGTTCTTTACTTGTGTCTTCTAAAATAGTGTTTTCTGTGTTTCATTTGCTAGTTTTGGTGTTTGGGGTGTTTTCGGAGCGCTCCCTTTCTAATCTTATACACCTGACCTTCCATTTCCGGTGATTCGGTGTCCTGATTTTATCGGTGTTACGAATCCAATTTAAGTCTTGAAGTATCGTGACTTCCTATTCCGACTCGAACAGTATCTGTGTATGTATGTTATTTCGAGTTCAATTTCGTAGTTTCGAACCCCAGCGGATTTGTCTTGGATCGATTCATTTATTGTTGTGGAGTTTAATTTCGCTTTCGCATCTCACTGCGTCTTCCTGCTTCGTGTGTTATTACGCTAGAACGCTTTTTAATTGTTCATTTCCATGTGTATTTCATTGTTCTTGCCGTTCCAATATCCTTTTCTGTCTCGACTTCCTGTTTCTGCTTTCGCTGTTTTGCTAAAAATCCCCCAGTGTGGAGGTGAAGGGGAAAAGAAGAGGGGAGGGGAGATAGAGGTTTGAACTGACCAAGTTATAAACAACGTTTTCTGTTTTAATAGTTGTCTATTCCTTCCTGTCCAAATATTACTCAAACTCAACACACGTTAGGACTCGGTTGGTGTCAACAAACTATAAATTTTCCGCAGTCCTGGAAAAAAATATTATAATCTTAGTCACAAGCCGGTTTCAGTTGGTTGAAGAGCTTACACCGGAAATGTTAAAAGCATTATATATATATATGTATATATATGTATGTAACCAAAATAGCGGAATGAGATCATCATCTACTAAAAAGTGCTCGATAGCAGGGCTTGAGCTGTGGATAATTATACTTCAAGATCTAGGCTACTTGAACTTTTGCTGCAACTCTGCAAGAGGCACGAAACTCAGAGTTGCAGTAAAAGTTCAAGTAGCTTAGATCTTGAAGTATAATTATATAGATATATATGTATGTAGAAAGTTTAAAAAATTTAAAAAATTGCGAGGATGGACCGAAACGTTTTTTATTAAATTTTTTTATATTTTTTACGTCAGAAGTTGCCTATTCTCGCAATTTTTTAAACTTTCTACGTTCGTGTTGGCTGTGAGGTTTGGACTTCGAATCTTTATTGATCCTCCTGGCGCGGTGCACCTTTGTTGGCCTGAGAGTTCCATTAACGACTATATATATATATGTATGTATATAGATATAATACTATTTATTAAAAAAAACCTACAATGATAATGTCATTTTATTTTGAAACCTTCGTCGCAGCGGCTTAAAGCACAGTTTAATTTCGCCGGTTAAAAGTTGTCAAATGAACAAATAAATTCCATTCATTGCCGTGTTTCTGTTTAGCAATCGATCACAGATGACGTCAAAGTGCGGCAGGAACAAAAAATACGTCAAAAGATCGATGCTGGAGATTTTTCTTGGGCCCACGCTGGCAACAGATTTTTTTAAGACCCCTTCAGCTTCGACATCTTTGATTTTTCAGGCATCTGGTGCATAATCTGAAATTGTTATTTCGGCACACGTGTTGTTAAGCTCTAGAACCAGGTTCCGAACGAAATAACGGTACCAATGGTCTTTTTAATGCAAAGAATTTGATGATTCCTAATGCGTTCAATAATCGTTGGGTAAGAAAAAGACCAGCAGCAAAGATGTGAACACTATCTGCTGTGCATGTGCTTGTAAATTGGTGTAGAGAATTTGTGTACGGAAATACCCTCTAGCCATTAAGTGTGACTCGTCTAGTTCCCATTTTGATTAACAATTTGGAGTTTTTGGGAGAAATGTCGATCACCTCTGATCTCTTTCAGTAGTATCTTAGTATGCTTCTCATATTTTTTCTCTCTTTCTTAAAACTTTGTTTCATTTTGATTCCTTTCTTACGCTTTTATTAAGCGCGTACGACACGAGCTAAATCGTGCTTGTCAATTAACGAGGCCATAGTTGCCATGTGCAAACTGAACGATTTTTTTGGGAAAATTGTGTCTACCTTATTTTTTCTAACTGATATTTTAAAATGTTACAGCGTGTAAGACTTTTTTCAAAGTATGTCAAATTAAGATTTTAATACCCCAGGGCTTGCCCATTTTTTTCTGTTTCGAATCAACTTAAACATCTCGTCCTCTTTACTTCTAACGATACGAGCACTTTGTCACTACAGTTATCACTGTCGCTTGACAAACTTCTCATCCTATACAAACAAATGTCGGATTAGAACGTAGGTTACTCAGCTGCTAGAGCAAATTTTGATCTGTTTCTTTCTCCTCAGTACCGCTTTGTGAAAAACTGAGAGGTTTTTAAAGTGAAAGCAAAACTGTTTAGGCACATAATTCGATTAAAAATTTTTTTCAACTAGTAATTGTTTCTTCTCAAACTAATTTTTTTCAGAGGTATTTACTGTGTACGGTAAATATCTTCTTGGGTAATCAGATTTTAATTAAAAAGGTTTTTAGTTATCATAGCTGCGTATTAAAACAATGGAACCGAGTGGATGTAAATTAAATTCATTAAAAACTAACACCATTTACAACTGCCTTTGTTTCCAGCCAATGGAACACGAATGAGATTCCCGATTGACAGACCAAATTAAAAACCTTTTTAGAGCTAACCTAATTTGACGGACACAAATTGGATGTCACTTGAAACCCATTTTTCGATCCCGCTGTATGTTAAATAGTAGTCTTAAAGTGCATTACACGTTCACTAATCCTTTTTTGAAACCACATGAGCTAAGTGCAATATTTAAGCTCGTATCAGCATGATCATGATGAAGTAGTCACCTGTGTGTTTGCACTTGTCTTGGGCGATACAACATTATTTGAAGCGAGAGATTGCCTTACAAAGGTAAACCATTCAAAATGCACAAAACGGGTTTTATCGATGTAATTTCCTGTTCGTTTCAGTGATTGACACGGTCTTAGCATAAACATTTGACACTTTCGGCCATTGCCGTTCACAAATTTGCGGTGACATCTCGAGATCAGCTTGAGGGATATACAGTCACTCCGAGAAACTTTCACTGATTATCACATTTCTCAATACTTCTCCACAGATGAATTACTGGCCAGTCCTTGCGACGCTTTTTTTCCAAGCTTCTTTGCTCTGCGAGGCTGTCACAAGCAGGAACAGTTCGTGCAAGATCGACCGCGAAAGTGGGACTACCGCGATATGTACCATCGCAAAGTTACAAGAGCTGTCGACGATTTTGCTTAACCCGAGTGATGTGAAATCTTTGTAAGTGGCAATGTTTTCCTTCTTGCTTTAATACTCAAAAGTCCTTAAACTCGGCCTGGCGGGTGAACAAATGCTGTTCAGCTCGAGTAGTTGAGTGTCCAACCCCCAAAGCGGAAATTGCCTGTTTTTTTTTTTCCTGTTTATGTATTTTTTTAAATCCCTTACGAGGTTTTTCAAGATTTCCTGCTTCCGTTGTCGACAAATGTTTGCCATCTTTCTAGAAATGCAGCCGACTGATGAAAACGTATCGAACTTCAAGAGAAAAGAAGAAATCTAATTATCAACTGGGGAAAATCCTTTGATTTTAACCAAATTCTCAACGCTAGAATGATAAGGAATTTATCGTAAACGGTGCGGAGAATCGATCTCTCGATCTTGGAAGTAAGATACATGTAGAGGAGGGTTCGAACGAGATAAATTTTTTTCTCGAAAGTTCAGAGTTCTTAAAGGAGCTATTTCAGATGACTTTCGAGAAACGAAAATAGCTATAAGTCACATTACCAACAAAAAGATGTAAATGAAGATTCTTTGGAGTAGACATTTTTGCAGAGGAAAATTCCTCAAGTACGCATCTCTGAAGAAAAAAATATTGTAGAATTTTACTCTGTAGTAACAAATTTTGTCCTTGAGTGTAATATTGTTTTTTCATGTCAAGTTTGGTTTGTTCAAAATCAGAACGTACGAGGATTCGTGAGGTGAAAACCGGTCACTGTAACAGCTCCATTTACACTACCAAGGCACAAACAATCCAAAGTTTTGAAAGAAAACGTGCTAGCGTACAAATACAGATAAAAGAATTGTGGACTTATGAGCGGAAAATCTATTCACGGTTTGTTTGGGTTTTAGATGAGAACTTCCCGCAAAAACGTCAAAATTAAAAGCTTAAGGACCATTTAGCATTCGCATGACGTCTGCAGTAATATCTAATTTACCGCCAGCCTTTTTGTTGTCAAGATACATGTATTTGAAATCGCTTATTTAGATAATGATAACAATCCAGTTGGGAACGCCAACGATGTACCGTTGAACGAAAGTTTCAAGCCTGGGGCGTACGTGAGCCTGTAATGCAGAACGGGTCAGCATTATAAGCTCGCAGGTTGGGGAAGGTGTTGGTGCGTGCATGGTGGCTCACGGCTGACATTGACATAAAGGCAAATTCTCAACATTCAGCTGCCTTCTGCGTCAAAAAAACGTCTGTTGTGAAGCTGTCATATTGTTTTAAGCGGAAGCGTCAAACTTTTTTCATTCAAGTCACCAATGAACGACTTTGCCACTTACAATTTTGCAGGAGTATCTTCTCCAGTGATCTGGAAACAGTTCCTGATGGAGCCTTTAGCAATTTCACCAGTCTTGTCAATTTGTAAGTGCTTTCTTTGTTTGAAATGTAATAGAGTTTCATATTTTTAACGCTTTTGTTGTAATGGTTAATTTTTTAATCACCTTTTATCGTCATTTGGAAGATCTTGTAGTTGTGGTTGTTGAGATAACCACTTTTTAAGGTCGATCAAGTATATTTCACGATCACGCATTCGAGCACGTGATCACGATGACACCTTCGAACACGTCATGTGTCATTAGAAATCATTCCCAGTGACACGCACATGCACGATCTCGTGTGCAATTACGATTGTGCGCACAATCAGCACACGATAACGCGCATAATCACGACCATCATGACTGACACTCACGAAATGCACCTAGTCACTTTCCAGTATACGCACTGGTTTCCCGCACGTTTCAATACCATTCAACTTATCCGAGTTGAATAAATTTTCATGGTAGACCTTCGTGAATTTCGTGTTGGCATTGCCTGTTCGACGATCAGATCACGAGTTTGACAACAATCAGTGTTTGATCTGTTTCATCTAAAACCAGATACTGATTTTACCATCACTTTGTTTTAATTTTTGAGGAGTTTGCCTTTTAACAACATCCGTGTCATAAAAGGTGGTGCATTCTCCAGTCTCAATCATCTGCAACGTCTGTGAGTAATATTCTCCTGTTGTCTGGTCAGCGGTTAATCAAAAAATTAACTGTAGCAAATTCAGAAATATAAAAATATTTCACGGAACATACCACGCGATAACTCGGTGCTGCATACACTTCGCAGGGTGTAGGGTCGGAACAAAAATTCGCTTTCGGTGAATTAGGCGATTTTCTGTGAAAATCCGATTTTTGTCCCTTCTACAGAATGTTGTTACCGAAAGAAGTCGCTTAAAATTAAACTGCTTAAACTTGTGGGGTTGATCACAGAATGCCATTTCAGAGTAATTTCAAAGCAGTTTCATGCAGAGATGTTTTACACCGGGTATTCGCATAAACGGTGTGTAGCGAGAGAAACTTTTTCGTCAGAATTTGCTTTTTCGGCAAACAAGATTGGCGGACAATGTTAGTGATTTTTTTTTTTTTCTATGTTCAATCTCTCTTGATAACAGAGACCTCTCTGGGAATCAGCTGATGGAATGGGAAGGAAATTTCACGAAAAGTCTTCCGTCTTTGATGTTCTTGGATTTAGCTGGGAATTCCAAATTCTTACCCCCGACCCCTCTACTCAAATTGCGCATGCTCAAAGAAATTAAGGGAGTGACCTGGAACGAGTTTTGTGGTAATTGTTCTTTGGAGAAAAACTATACTCTGAAGGAAGGCGAGTTTAACAATAATGATGTAAACATCGAGACTTCTAAACTTCAAAAAGGAGACTATTTGGTTGGTAACATGGGACACTGTCGAGTAAACAGACTCCAGGTGAGCCAAGAGGTCGTTGAATATGCAAAACATGGATTTTTTCCTCAATGCCTCGAAACTAAAGCTTGTTTTGACACTGAAATTCGCGTCACCCCCTTACACCGTTGCTGGGATATCGATAATATGATCCTAAGGGTCGAGTTCGTAATCACGCCAATTGCCATGATCTTGAATCTTACAGTTATCGTGGTGACATTAACAACAAGAGCACTAAGAAGGAATGTGACCATGTTTCTAACGAGCAATATGGCTCTTAGCGACTTCCTCGTCAGTCTTTACACTCTTATCTTGGTCAGCGCAAGACTGAAGCCTTACACAGAGTTCCTGTTAATCATGGAGAACCTCTGCAATGCTCTCGGGTTTATGTGGCTCTCCAGCGTAATTGTTAGCATCAAGACTTCCATCCTTCTCACCATAGAGCGGTATTTGGTGATAGTGTATTGTATGCAGCCCTCAATACGAATCACACGGAAGAAAGCGCTCATCCTTGTGCTACTCACATGGTGTTTGGGCGTGAGCATCGCTGTTTTGCCGCTGGTCAATATTTCTGTTTACGACGGCAATACATTCTGCATTCCTATTCGCCCGATAAAAGACATTCCACATTCGTACGAGCTGAGTATTGGACTTTCCCTTTGGGGCATAGTTCTGTACTTCACCACCATACCTTTCTACATCAGAGTTTTTAAAACTGTGAAGAAAACAGGAAAAAAGGCGGGAATCAAAAGAGACGGTACCCTAGCAAGGAGAATTGGAGCTTTAGTCCTTAGCAACATGATCTTTTTCTTAGTACCGATCGTTATCGCATTTCTGTGGCTTACAACAAACATTCAGGAGGTGATGTCGCCGCAAAGTAGAGAAATTCTCACAGGCGTCCTGCCAACTGTCCTCTTTAGCTTTAACTCACTCATCAACCCCCTTCTTTACGCCTTCAGAACAGAGAAATTCAGAAAAGCCGTCAAAATTAAGGTAGATTACATATGTCTTCGCAAAGGCCGTAGTTCGTCATTGACAAGTTCGCTCTCTGGCAAACTACGAGGTCCGACTGTAAGCTCCAACAATGGCGATTGCAGTCCTGACTCGAGGCATTTACGCAGCGAGTTAAGCTTGGCGAAGATATAGTTTTCCATATGATATGGCACCGCTCTCAAGAAACTTAAAACTCTACGACGTCTCTATAGAGAGTGTGCTTTCCTCTCCTCAAGCCTCCTCAGTTTAAAGGCACGGTGGCTTATTAAAGACTGGAAACGAGTATGAATCCAATACTGGTTAGATGTGATTCAATGATGAAGTGAACAAGTTGGAATTTACTGATTGAAGAAATATTATAAAAATAAAGTTTTTAGCTCATTTTTACATTTCAAAATTAATTTTGGAATGCAGGACTCTATCTTGTTGGATACAAAGTAGACAGAGTTTGCATTTATTTTTCTTAAGGTTAGGTATTTTTTTCTAAATGCTGATTTATTCTAGTTCTCGTTCCTGTAATGGAAGCGCGGTAGGCCTGAAAAGTTGAACCAAGTCGGTCTCTGGTTACTCAAGACTTGGTTTGCGTAGAATACTGTCTCGCAATTGAAATCAGTGCACGGTTCATCTTCACGACAACAAGCGCAGTGAGTTCTGAGGGTATTTAAAGCCATTCAGCAAACGGAATAACTTTGTGAATACTTATTTACTAAGCTGAACAAGTTTACTTGATGTCTGAAGTAATGCAAAGTTACACGGGTTTTCATTGGTCAGAAAACTCGCGCCAGCAGTATTTGTCCCAATCTCTCATTGGCTACCTTTGACATTTTTTTTTCTTCTCAACCTCGTTTCCAGGGGCTTCGCCCCATCCTAAACGAAGGGAAAAGGTCCTGGGAACGAGGTTGCTCTCTGCTGAAAGGCTGTTGTGATGACGACACTCAATATGAAAACGGTCTGGTAATGTTTACGGCGGGTGGCGTTATCCACCTGTGAGATAAATGCGCTGAAATATAGCCTTTCTAGTCGTCCAGTATTTAGGTCTAATACGTTTATTATCGATAATGGTGAGTTACTTATCGTTAGATCGCCCAGTTAGAACCCTTGGAGGACTATAACGTAGGTGAATCTGTAGGTCACGCAACACGCACTCCTCTTGTAACATTGCGTAACGTGACCAAATGACAACTGCGAACTGAGTCTAATAGGAGCTTTGATCGATGGAGATATAAAACAAATGATGATATGCCATTATGAACGATATGAAACAGGTGAAAACTGACGTATAGTTTGAAAAATCAACATAAAATTAAATTAAGTCGCGTGGAGTCTTGTATGCTATTATTTCAAGAATTAAAAAGTGAAAATGTCTGTCAGTTCTTGATAGAGCTATTGATACGTTGCAATATTAGGGACAAATATAAAGTACTGGGATTGTTTGCTCAAACCTAACGCTGGGCGGGGAGGGGGACTTAAGCGGGGAAGGGGGAGAGAGCCAGGGAGGACGCTTAACCCAGTTTCCTACGGGGTTACTTTGCCCTTGGATTAAACCTAACACTCTTGTGTATCACGACAAACCGAAGTGAAGCCCCCTTCAAATTCCTGAAACGATCTTCAGTATTTTCTTTTTTTTTTCACGTATACGTTTTCATGTACCAAAAAAATACATGCCTTAGTTAAATGACAAAAAACAATCAACGGTAACATGTTCCCTTTAGTAACCCCATAAGTTTTCACCTTTTCCTTCCCTGGGGTGAGCCGAAGGGAATGAAAAGGTGTGTGTCAGTTCCCAAGGTTGTGTGTCAACTGATAGCCCTCCGGGTACTGGAAAGTAGTACACATTATATGAAATCATACATAACGTCAGTTTCGTTCTACGAAGCGGAAGTGAACGACCGTGTTCTCAATAGAAGTGTTTGACTGCTTCTCTTGGAGTCGTTCGATTATTTAAATCACTCCATACGACATTTAAAGCAAACTGCAGACAGATTGAGACGGAAGATGGCCAGTCATCCTCAAGAGAGCTCATTACAAGCTGTCGATGTCAACAGATCAGACCCTGAAAACGAAACTTTAGATGTTACCAAGGCAAGTTACTTAATTTTTCTGCTCTTATAAGTAAACAGGTGTTCAAGCATTTGATTGCAAACGGATAACTCACATTTTGTTGCTACTAAGAGCCCAGATGAAGAATGTAAAAACAGCGTAAAATTTCACCTTAGTCTTTCGTGTTTGCAAAGATATCAGGGCTGCTGGAAGCCTTTAATTATTTTTCGAAGTTTGAAGTTTCCGCGGGCATGCATGACGATGGCGGACGTTACTTTTCGAGCTCCGTTAGCAATCTTATTCCTTGGACTATTTTTTCGCTTTCATTTACTCCTAAGGTTTGAGAGAGTCATCATAAACTCAAATTCTATCAACGAATTTCCTACATAAGCCACAGTCCGTTGGCTCGCTTGGTTTTGAAGCCTTCTTGTCATCCAAAAGTCGCCAAGGACGAGCTGCTACCCTTGTTCGGGAAACCAAGTCATGTCTCTTGCTAAATTTCTTACTTTGTAAGAAGCCTGTTAAATGTAACCAACGCGGCATCCAATGCGACTCGTTTGATTCGTGGCTACATGTTCGCTGCTTGGAGATGAATATTGATGAGTACGAAATCCTCGCAAATTCTTCTTGAACCTGGTTTTGTCTGAATTGTGACCTTCCAAACTTTGAAACCACTTTATTGGAATCGTCTACCAGCTCTTTAGACTTGTCGAATTCGTTTAATATCTTATCAGAGGATTGTAATCAAACATCAGAAATTTCCAGGAATAGTTCTTTAAATACTTCAGCGACGAACGCACCGAACCATGAAAATATTCAGATGTATGGAAAAACACCGAAAAGGAATAAATTGAGAGGTATGATAATAAATTGAAACAGCTTGGAGAGCTTCTGCTGAATTCAAGGTGCTACTTGAATTACACAATCTGGGCTTCGTCTTGGGAACCGAATCTAAACTTGATCCTGGCATTCCCACTTATTCCATCTTTCCACCTTCATATACTGTCTTCAGAAAGGATAGAAATGCCCATGGCGGTGGAGTCTTCCATGCAATAAAATCAGATCTGGCTTGTATTGAAGAAGATGGTTTTAATGAGAACTCCTGTGAAATCCTTTGGTCTTCTATCAAAATGTCAAACTGCAGAACTTTGTATTTATCGTTGTTTTAGCGGCCACCAAATTCTCCTATCGAGATTCTCGACCAACTAGGTGACTCTATCAATCAAGTGTTTATCAAAGTGTCCAACCACCCAAACATTATAATCGGAGGGGATTTCAACCTGGGCGACATCGACTGGAATAATGAGGTCCCAAACGCAAATAATCCTGCCACTGCTTCACAACACAATAAATTTTTGCAGCTGATGGATGATTTTTCTTTAACCCAACACATCAAAACAGCAACGAGGCCAGCATCAGAGAAAATCTTGGACTTGTTGCTGTGTACTTATCTTATTTCTATCTCTCATGTGTCCAGTTCTACCGGTCTTAGCGACCATCTTGTTGTTAATTTTAAGATTAATCTGAAAGCAACACGTTTTTCCAAGCCCCCTCATAATTATAGCTTATTTGTACAAGAAAGCAAACTTTGTTGGCCTAAATGAATTTATAGCTAAGTAGTCAGCTGAATTCTGGAAAGCTCAAAAGAACAAAACTGGAACGCATTAAAAAATGATGTAATCAAAGGTATCTCCCAGTTTCTTCCAGAAAAAATGTCCAAGCCAAAATACAAGCTGCCATGGGTTACTCTGAATATTGAAAGAGAGATGCATAAAAAGGATCGTCTCCATGAGAAAGCTATGCACTCCAAAGATTGGCAACACTGGCAGACGTTTATTAAGAATCAACGAAATCGAGTGGCAAAACTGATCAAAGAATCCCACAATCGTTATTTAAATGAATTAAGGTATTGGTGAAAATTTGACCGATAATCCTAAAAAGTTTTGGTTGTATGTTAAGCATAGTAAATCAGTGAAAGCCTTGAAATTCCACCTCTTAAAACTGCAGATGGGGTGAGTATTACAGAAAAAGACAAAGCAGAAACTCTGGATTCCTATTTTTTTTCAGTTTTTAACCGTGAGAAGAAACCCCTTCCTAAACTGTCCTGTCACCTTTTACCTCGATTGCAAATTTGTTATTCTCACCTGATGGGGTTGCTAAGCAACTAGCTAGCCCAGTTGAATTGCCATAAAGCTTGTGGACCAGATGAATTTCCTGCAAGAGTGCTCAAAGAGATCTCACAAACAGCTTCTATGTGGCTCGCCTTTATTTTTCAACAGTCATTTGGACCAATTTGATGTTGTTCCATCAAATTGGTCCAAAGCCCTCGTTTCTGCAGTCTTTAAGAATGGAAACAAATCAGATCCTTCTATTTACCGCCCAATTTCACTAGCCTCAATCTGCTGCAAAGTTATGGAACATATTTTTCTTAGCCATATGGCTAAACACTTGTCTAGTAATAACATTCCGTCCAACGTGCAACATGTGGTTTCAGACAGTGGTTTTCTTGTGAAACTCAACTAGTATCAGCCATACACAACTGGGCAAAGTCAATCAACACTCATAGTCAAACTGATGTTTTACTCCTCGATTTCTCTAAAGCGTTCGATTCAGTACCCCATCAAAGACTGCTGAAGAAGCTCAACTGTTATGGCATCCGAGGGAATATACTTATGTGGATTGAAGCCTTTTTGTCAAACTGTTCCCAATCATAAAGGCTGATAGTTTCGAAAGAAACTGTTTGGAGCTGTGTCGGTGGGGGTAACAAAATAATTTGGATATATCAACAAAGTTGAAATGGTAAATTGGCCACCATAACGATTAATTGTTCTCAATCAGTCTCACTGGTAACGATTGATTGTTCCCCAATCAGTCTCAGTGAATGGCATCAAATCCTCCTCCAAGCCAGTGCTCTAGGGGGTTCCACAAGGCTCGATTTTGGGGCCTTTGCTATTTCTACTATACATAAACGACATCTCCTCGTCTGTCAAGTCACGCCTACGCCTCTTTGCATATGATTGCATCCTCTACAGAGAAATCAATAGTCCTCGGGATTGTTGGTCTTTGCAAGATGATCTTGATCAATTCCTGCTCTGATCAACCACTTGGCAATTAAATTCTAATATCAAGAAGTGTTATGGACTCGGTATAACTTGCAAGAAAATTCAATTTACGTTCCAATATTCTTTAGGTGGCCAGTCCATTTCTAGAGTTTCCTCAGCGAAGTACCCCGGAATCACAGTGACAGATAATCTCTGCTGGAACGAGCATGTCAACGACATCTGCAGCAAGGAAAATTCTACGCTTGGGCTTCTGCGTCGCATCCTAAGTGGAATTGTGATAACAAAGTCAAAGATACAGCCCATTGTATGTTGGTTTGCCCAAAACTCGAGTATGCCTGTTGTGCTTGGAATCCTTTCACCAAACAGAGCATCACTCAAATTGAGATGGTTCAATGCCGAGCAGCAAGATTTGTATTTAACAACTATTCAAGATTTAGCCATGTTACCCCAATGATTAAACACCTTTGTTGGGACTCCCTTGTAAAATCGCCGACTCCTTCTTCAATCTAGTATGTTTTACAAGATCTTAATGGGTCATGTAGGTATTATTTTCCCTCCCGAAATTCAAGAAATAACAGGAGCTACCAGATTACCAAACAGTCATCCTTTCCGCCAAATCAGCGTATCAACTAATGTGTACAAGTTTTCTTTTTACCCAAGGACAATAGTATCATGGAACAATGTACCTATCAGTAAAGACGTTAACTTAAATAAGTTTAAGGCAATTGCTCTTGCAGCCATCAAGTCATCTAATTGACATCTATCAATTGCTTTAATCTTTTAGTTTAGGAATAGTTCATTATGTTAAAACAAAATTTATATATTCAATAAAAAATTATGTTTTATTGTTGTTTTTATATTTATTTATTTGTAATTCATAGATCATATTTATGTCAACAGTTTTAACCGATTGTTGTTCATTACTTAGTGCCGTGTGATTGTTTTGAAATTATTGTTATTTTTTATGATATAATTTTGAAACTCCTAGACTAAGTATAGTTTTTTTTTTTGCTGTCTTAGGAGTATACTTATTGAAGATTAAAGATTAAAGATCTCTGTTAATTTGTATCTGCCAAGTTATCTATCTGTGTTGCAAACGAAGCTAACCTTAAACAATGGTCATAAGATAAAATAAGATGAACAAATAAATCGTTTAGATTTTCTTTTGGTAGAGGAATTTTGAAAAGGAAAACATGGTTAGCAATAAACTCCCACAGGTGATTGGTGACCAACATGTATATATACTCCTTAAAATTTTAATATGTTTTAGGCAATCAGGTTATGATGTAGCACCAAATTCTCCTCTTTAATTTACAAGAAAATTTATGGCAGTCATTGGGGAGAATTACTCTGTGGATCTTGAGAATTAAAGCATTAAGATCATACAAGTCATTACAGTGAAAGTTTAGGTAGCTCAAGCTTTTGTGCTGTTATCAGTCCAAGGTCCAAGAAATTTCAAGCCACACCAAGATATAAACCCATTCACTCCAAAGATCTCACCAGTAATTCGCCTTACTGTCTGCCTTATAATTCCTATGATGAGTTTGGAGAATTTGATATTGGATCAACTAACAATCAGCTTATTGATATTTGCTTTGTTCTTATTGAAGTGTCTGCTTAATATTACAGTTTGATATTGTAAGCGGAAGTTCTTTCTTGGTCACTTCTTGAAGTTCAAGGGTTAAAACTCTGGACTGGGTTGTTAGAAAGGTGGTTAACATTAATCTAAGTTAAGTTAACCTTGGTTTTAAATTTCTCGAACCTGATTGGGAAAAAAGTCCAAAAGAAAAAAATTCCCTTTGCAAAGCTATTAATTAAAAGCAAATTGAAAATTTCTACTAACCCCAGATTGGGTTAATTTTGTTTTGAACAACCTGGCCAAGCTGGTATTTTAAATGCCAATACAGACCCTTCTCTTCACTCCTCTAGTGGAGGAAGGGCTAATGCTAATGCTGGAAACGTCAGCTTTTGTAATCATTACGGTGGCCAATTTACCATTTCAACTTAGTTGATATATCCAAATTATTTCGTTACCCCCACTGACGCAGCCCCAAACAGTTTCTTTCGAAACTATCAGCCTTTATATAATTTCCTTACAGTTGGTGACAAGGGGTTTTGTTTATGTCATCAACCAACAGAGGCAATTAAGCCTAACTCCATTCATTTGATTTTTTTTTTGTTTTTGAATCATTTTTAATATTTATCATTTTAATCCCTGTAACAGTGTATTTCTGCCAGCAACCCAGTTAAACAAGTAACTACGGTCAGTGATACCAGAAAACAAAATGCAGACAAAATGGAATCCTTGGATGTGACTGAGTCACAGGGAGGCCAATCTTTAACAGAACAACTTGTTAAAGCGCTAGTCCCACCAGCTTCTTTCAATAATGAATCTTTCTTGAACAAGAAAGACTTGATGGATCGTATCAAAGGCACCATTTATGGAAATTGTATTGGAGATGCGATAGGACTTTTAACAGAATTTATGACAAAATCTGAAGCTGCACAGGTGAGCTGCTAATAGCAAATAATGTACATCATATTTATGCCTGCCAAATTTCCAGAGTCAAATGCATCCAATTTTTCTTACCTTCATTACCCAAATTTCTGAAAATCCTTCAACTTCTGAACACTATCGAAGATTTTCCAAGGAATGACAAAGGCAGGGGAAGCTGTAATGCTTGATGTTATCTTGAAACCCAAGGTTAACCTTCTAAGGTCCCTTTTGCTTGCATTAGTCATGCCTCATTATGTTAAATATCAGTATGCATATTCTTTATACTGTTATAATAATGATAATAATAATAATAATAGTAATAATAATAATGTAGGATTTCTATAGTACTCACCCTATCACCCTAGAGTTCAGAGCGCTTTATAATATGTACAATTAAAATTATTATAAATAATTGACAAAATTAACCAGGAGATAATACTAACAAATTAATTAATATTAATAGTCCTACAAATTGAAAGCCTGACTAAAATGATAGGTCCTAAGCTTTGACTTAACAAGTGATGGTGCCTGTCATATGGTCTCTGGGAGCTTGTTCCACAGGTTGGGGGTGACATAGCTACATGACCAGCTGCTTCCATAAGTCTTAAGTTTAAACTTAAGCACTTGCAAGAACTGTTTGTTAGAAGAGCGTTAAGTTCTAGCTGGTGTGTCCTGCACTAGCATATCTGATATATATTGAGGTACTAAGGCATTCAAGGCCCTATATGTAAGTAGTAATATCTTGAAAGATAGATGTTGTTTAACAAGTAGCCAATGGAGATCCATTAAAACTGGCATAATTCTGTCATACTTGCAAGTATGGGAGACTGAGCGCCTGGCAGCATTGTGCACATGCTGAAGCTTATTCTGTTAAATAATAATAATAAATAATAATAATGAACCACATTTATATAGCACCTATCCAGTTGTGCTCTAGGCACTTCACAATATCTAAAAATGTATACTTTACTAGGTAAACTGCATACACAAATATACCTATACATACATTTGCACATATGTGAATCAATAGCAGTAATTAAAATAATTACAGTTCTTGGAATTAAAGGTTTCCTTGAATAAATATGTTTTAAGTTTAGATTTAAAAGAATTCAAATTATCACAAAAATGTATATGGGCAGGCAAATTGTTCCACAGTTGAGGTGCAGAGATGGCAAAGGCTCCAGAGCCATAAGACTTTAAGTTATGGTTGACCACATTTAGATGCATTTAAGTGGATGATCTTAGATTTTGTGATGGAAAATAGCGGGTTATCAGATCTTGAATGTATGTGGGGGATTGTTTGTGTATAGCCTTGAAAGTGAGAAGCAAAATCTTGAATTTTATGCACTCAGCAATTGGAAGCCATTGTAGTTCAAACAAGATGGGAGTTATGTGATTGTACTTGGAAGAACGTGTAATTAGATGTTTATTATCATTATTATTAAATATTGTGGCAACCCAGCCAAAAATGAATTACAGACTTGGTAGTAAATTAAAAGTATCTTTGATTCCAAAGTAAGAGGTTAATTGTGACCTAAGTCCACCTTCCTTCACCTTTCAAGACTCTATTACCCAGTGATAAGCCTATGTTCTTGTCTGATTCTTACAGATTTACAGTAAGAAAAGCATTGTACAGAGAGTAAAGAGACTTTTCAGTGCAGATCAAGACAAGGTACATTTGGAATATGATATGAAATTCAACGATGGTCATCGGTGGAAATGGGACACTGGAGACTGGACAGATGACTCAGATCAAATGATTTTGATTTTGCAGTCTTTGTTGGACAATGATGGAAAGGTTATTAGATAATTTAGTAGTAAGACAGTCATGTTACCCTGCAAAGTTGGGTGATCATGGTTTTACTAGGAAACCAATTGAGAATTAACTCTGTAGGCACCTGGCACCCAGCGCCTATGATCCCCTGAGAGTGTTGAGTGGAAGCTGCACTGGCCTTGTGGTTTAAGTGCGGTTAGCACACTGGGCTCCATACCAAGAGCTCTGGGTTCCAACCTTTGCAGCATAAATGAGTGGTGCTTTGGGACAAAACATAACTCCCTCACAATGTCTTTCTCCACCCAGAAATAAAATTGTGTACCAATAAATTATCAGGAAAACTTGACGAAATACTTGACCAAACAAAGAGCAGCCCCCTCGCCAATAAAGAATTCTGCCCAAAGTGTACCCAACAAAAACTCATCCTGAAATATCCCTCCTCCATCACTTTTTCAATGGCTTATCCCTGAGCTCTACTGCAAAGGGGCCCCCTGGCACAAGTGACATTATATATGACATTATATATGACATTATATAGACATTATATAAGGGCCATAGATTGACTCCAGATAAACCACCTTAATAGATAAAATATACAATCTATTTTTGAATACTGGTTCGGAGTGTTGGCTGTTTGATTTATTGCAGATGGTTCCTGTTGATTTTGGCAAAAAAATGAAATTTTGGAGCAGAAGAGGTTTTCCAGAGCTAGGTGATATTGGTGGAATGGGAATCGGCAGCACCACTCGTAATGTTCTGCATCATCCTGACTTTCTTACTGATCCACACAAGGTACAGAGCAATGAGGGCAGTCAGTAATTTGCCCTGGCCTGCTAT